CCCAGGTCACTGCCTCCCCTGCCAACGTCCCCTGCCCCTCCCTGCCTTCCCTGTGTCGAGGGGTGGCAGCGTGCCACCCCTCGCTCCTCTGAGTTCCCCCCGACGGAGGCTCCTCTGCAGACCCTTCACATGGACGTGTGGGGCCCAGCCCGCGTTCTTGGACAGGGCGGAGTTGACGACTACACGCGTTACACCACGGTCTTCCCCTTGCGCACCGAGGGAGAGGTTCTTGCTGTCTTGATCCCTTGGATCCGCGCTACCCGTCTCCAGCTGGAGAGGCGCTTTCGCACGAACCTTCTCCTCCTATGACTGCACTCTGACAGAGGTGGTGAGTTTTCCTCCGGCCTCTTGGAGGCCTTCTGTCAAGGGGAGGGCATTGAGCAGACGTTCACGCTTCCGGCCTCTCCTCAGCAGAATGGGGTTGCTGAGCGCCGCATTGGCTTGGTCATGGAGGTCGCTCGTACCTCCTTAGTCCATGTGGCTGCCCCCCATTTTCTATGGCCGTTTGCGTTCCGGTACGCCGCACATCAGTTCAACCTCTGGCCCCGTGTCTTCGTTACGGAGACCTCGCCGACACTGCGTTGGACGGGAGAGGTTGGCGATGCGTCTGTGTTCCGGGTCTGGGGATCTCGTGCCTTTGTCCGCGATACGTCTGCGGACAAGCTATCCTCCCGCGCCGTTCCTTGTGTCTTCCTGGGCTTTGTCTCTGACGCGCCTGGCTGGCAGTTTTACCACCCCACCTCGCGCCGTGTCTTCCCTTCTCAAGACGTCACGTTTGACGAGTCGGTCCCCTTTTACCATCTCTTCCCCTACCGCACTGCCCCGCTCCACCCTCCGCCGCTCTTCCTCACGCCAGGTGCTGCTTCGGTAGACCCCCTGCCTCCCCAGGGTCCTGCTCCCTCAGGTGTTTCCCAGGTAGACCCGGTCGAGCCTGTCAAGGTAGCTGTTGACTCTGGTCCTGCGCGAGGTACTAAGCGTGCTCAGCCTGGTGGTGCTGGGTCTGGGGGTACTGAGAGTGGGGGTGCTGAGCCTGGGGGTGCGGAGACTGGGGGTGCTGAGCCTGGGGGTGCGGAGACTGCGGGTACTGAGCCTGGGGGTGTTGTGCCTGGGGGTGCTGAGCCTGGAGGTCCTGAGCCTGGGGGTGCTGCACATGGGGGCGCTCTCTCTTCCCAGCAGCTGCGTGAGTGGTACTCTCGGTACTGTCGCCGCCGCCGTGGTGCTATGGGAGCTGGAGGTGCTGCTGGAGCTGGAGCTGAGGACGCTGGGCCTACTGGAGTTGGTGTAGCTGCTGACCCTAGGGTTGGTGCTGGAGGTGCTGGAGCCACTGGTACTGGAGGTGCTCTTACTGGCGGTACTGGAGCTGTTGGGACTGGAGGTGCTACTGGAGCTGCTTGAGGTGCTACTGGTACTGGGGCTGGTGGTGCTGCAAGGGCTGGAGCTGGAGGTGCTCACGCTCGTCGTCCTGCAGGTGCTGGAGCCGACGGTGCGGGTGGAGCTGGTGCGACTGGGGGTACTGGAGCTGGCACTACTGAAGCTGCTAGTGGTGCTGCAGGAGTTGGAGCTTCTGCTCAGGGTTCTGGTGCTGTCTCTGCTGTATCTGGGGGCACTCCACAGCCTTTGCCGTACTTTGTTCCGCTCCTTCAGCAGGTTCTTGGTCATCCGCCTCCTCCTTGTCCAGCTCCCTCCTTAGAGTGTCCTCCGCCTGTCCAGTTGCATTCACTGTTACAGCCTGCCTCGCCACTTCCTAGTCCTTCTCCCTACACTGGTTCGACAGGAGGTCTTACGGAGAGTTGTGGGCCTGAGTCTCGCCCTGTGTTGCCTGAGTCTCGTTCTGCGTCACATGTTCGTGCGGATCGCACTGGTCGTCGTGTCCCGCGTCAGCGTCTTCCTGCTGTCCCAGGCACTCACCAGATGAGGCTTCGTCTTTCCACTGCTCCACAATGTCTCCCTCTGCCGTCTCCTCCTGCATCCTCTCTTCTTGCCCTTATTGACTCGGAGTCTCACTCTCTTCGTGCTACTAGTCCTACTGTCACGCGTCTCCTGGCCACTGCTGTCTCTGACCCTTTCTTTGAGTCAGCTGTTGCGTCAGCCTTAGTTTCTGAGCTTCTCGACTTTGCTGCTCACTGTCGTCTAGACTACGCTGCGAGTCTTGTTGCTAAGTCTGAGTCTGTCTGTCCTCCGTCCGTCGGGGGGTGAGTGTGCTCTTAGCACGGACGTCCTTGAGGACAGGCAGGAGGAGTTTGAGTGCTTTGCCGCTGCTGTACCTCATCTCATGTCCATGCTGATTGCACCTGAAGGAGACCCGGATGCACCAGACATCCCGACCCCGCGCTCTTACGCTGAGGCGATCGCGGGTGAGTACTCCTCGCAGTGGCAGACAGCCATGGACGCACAGATGGCATCTTGGAAGTCCACTGGCACTTACGTCGACAAGGTTCCCCCTCCTCGAGCGAACATCGTCAGTGGCATGTGGAATTTCAGGGTGAAGCGGCTGCCAGGTACTCCGACTGTCTTCAAGGCTCGTTACGTTGCTCGAAGCTTCAGTCAGCGAGAGGGAGTAGACTTCATCCAGACCTTCTCCCCCACCCCAAAGATGACCACTCTTTGGGTGCTACTGCACGTTGCCGCTCAGCGTGACTACGAGCTTCACTCTCTTGACTTCAACACAGCTTTCTTGCAAGGCAGCCTGCACGAGGAGATCTGGCTGCGCCGTCCACCTGGCTTCACTGGGTCGTTTCCTCGTGGTACCCAGTGGAGCCTCCAGCGGCCAGTCTATGGTTTCCGCCAGGCGCCACGTGAGTGGCACGACATACTGAGGACTACACTTGCGGCTCTTGGGTTCGCGCCTTCTACTGCTGACTTGTCGCTGCACACCGACACTTCGCTGCCGCCGTTCTACATCCTCGTGTACGTCGACGACTTGGTCTTTGCCACTGCTGACACTGAGGCTCTCGCCCTGGTGAAGTCGGATTTGCAGAAGAGACACACGTGTACAGACCTAGGTGAGCTGCGCAGCTACCTTGGCTTGCAGATCACCCGGGACAAAGCATGCCGCACCATCACACTGACTCAGTCACACATGGTGCAGCAGGTCCTTCAGCGCTTCGGCTTCACGTGGTCCTCGGCACAGGCGACTCTTCTGGCTACAGGTCACTCGCTCTCAGCTCCACCTTCGGACGAGTCCGTAGAGCCGAGTGGTCCTTACCCAGAGCTAGTTGGCTGCCTCATGTACGTGATGACTTGCACTCGTCCTGACCTCGCATACCCTCTTGGCCTTCTGGCTTGCTACGTGGCTCCTGGTCGGCACTGAAAGGTGCACATGGATGCTGCTAAGAGGGTACTACGCTACTTGTCCAGTACATCAGGCATGGGGCTCGTTTTTGGAGGGAGGAGCTCAGTTGTTCTCACTGGGCACTCAGACGCTTCTTGGGTTGACGACCAGGCTACTCAGCTGTCGTCACAGGGTTACACCTTCAGCCTTGGCTCTAGTTCAGTTTCTTGACGTTCTACACGTTCGTCTTCAGTTCTTAGCTCCAGTTGTGAGGCTAAGATCTACGCCACAGCCATGGCTGCACAGGAGTTATGCTGGCTCACCTACCTGCTGACCGACTTGGGAGAGCGGCCTCGCTCTCGTCCAGTGCTGTACGTCGACAACAAGGCTACCATTGCCTTGTGTGAGGAGCATAGATTGGAGCACAGAACAAAGCACATCGCTCTTCATTACTTCCTGGCTCGAGAGTTGCAGCAGCGTGGTTAGCTTTGTCTGTGTTACGTGGCCACTCGGGCCAACACTGCTGATATATTCACCATGGCACTTCAGTCTGGTGATCAACAGCGTTTCTGCACTATGCTAGGTCTTGTGCCCACTTTTCCTCACTTGGTGTAGGCTTTGCTTGTACTGTGATCTATGTATATATTCCTGCATGCTTGCTTTGCTAGGTAGAGATCACTGTGATGTTTGTGTTACATATATGCCTCTGCATGTGAATTGGCCTTGTGGCCCTTCGCTTGTGCTCAGTGAGTGTGGTGACGTTGTGATCCACCCTGAGCTTGCTTTGCCTTTTTTGACTGGTCTTGTGACCCCTTGCTCTCCCCCACTTTGCCTATGGGGGTGTGTCAAATGTTATATCTGCTACAGTTTGTTTAGGCTGTAGTGGGGTAGTTACTATGGGGTACAGTAAGTTAGGGTTTCCTACTTGTACCTAGCCCTTTCCTAGTGCAATCACCCTTGTTAATTCTAACAAAGCCCCTCTTTGCTAGCCCACCGCGAACCACCCACCCACCGTCCTCCTCACCCCATAACAATGCCTTAGGCAAAATGGTTACAGGGCTTTGACTATCTGTATATTCGACACTTAGAACATGTAGACTCACTTCTAGTGTAAATCCTATAAATACAAGATTCGACGTTTACGTCGGAAGGGTTATGTAGAGTTGTATCCCTTGTATTAGAAACATTATGTTAGAAACATTATCATAAAGTACATACATTATAATTATACTTTGCTTATAGAAGCGATTCATAAGTTGTTTATTCTTGTTTAAAACAGGTCAGGCTTGATAGTTCCCTATTAGGAAGCGAAATGTTATGTAGATGTTACTTCCCTCAAAGCTGTTAATTAATTGTGGAACAATTTGGACATTTATGCTCTTTTTGTGTTTTTTTTATAAACATAAATTGTTTTCACCAACAACTTAACTCCATTGTTCTTTCAGGTTATTGTAGCGGGTTGGCGCTTGGCATCGCTGAATGCCCTTGTCCTGTGCTGTCATGAATTTTCTTTCTCTGCTGGCAGAAATCTCGTTCTACGCTGGCAGAAATTTCTCGTTCTGCGCTCGAATTCGGCGCTGTCGTTTCTTGGTTCTTGTTCTTGAATCTTCTTGACAAGAACCTGCTCTGCTCCTACTCCTTTTCCTCCCCTCCCCCCCACCCCTTCTCGCCAGTTCTTCTCCCACCCAGCTGTCGCTCTCGCTCCCATCCAGCCGTATCCACTCCTGCACTACCCGCTGACACCTCTCCAACCCACCTCACAATCACTCCGTCCCATCCACCCCGCCATCTCCTCCCTCCTCCCCGCCGTCGCCTCACCTCCTCCCCGCCGTCGCCTCTCCCTCCTCCCCATCGTCGCCTCTCCCTCCTCCCCGCCGTCGCCTATCCTCCTCCCCGCCGTCGCCTCTCCCTCCTCCCCGCGGTCGCCTCTCGCTCCTCCCCGCGGTTGCCTCTCCTCACTCCCCGCGGCCGCCTCTCCCCACTCCCCGCCGTCGCCTCTCCTTCCCTCTCCGCTGTCTCCTCTGGCGACAGGTGCACGAGCACAAGCGCGGGCTGGTGCGCGAGCGCGGGTTGTTTTCTCAGGCACCGTGGTTATCAGGTGCGTTCCCGGTCCTTCCGTCCTCCCTCCCCCTTTCTGAAATTCCCGTCCTGTTTTGTTTTGTTTTGTTTTGTTTTTTTTCCTCTCCAATGTGTCGATTGGTCTCCACTTGCATTGCATTTTCATTTGAAGAAGAAAGAGATGGAGTGCGAGGGAGAGCGTGTGCGCATGAGAGAGCGTGTAAGAGAGCACGCGAAGGAGCGCGTGAGAGAGCGCGTGAGGGAGCGCGTGAGAGAGCGCGTGAGGGAGCGCGTGAGACGGTGCATGAGGGAGCGCGTGTGAGTGCACGTGAGAGCGTGAGAGAGTGAATGCATGTGATAGTGCGCGAGAGAGCGCGTGAGAGAGAGAAAGTGGTGAGATGCGCGAGAGAGAGCGCGAGAGAGAGTGTGTGAGAGTGTGCCTGAGAGTGCGCCTTGAGAGAGCGGATGAGAGAGTGCGCGAGAGTGCGTGAGAGAGCGTGAGAGGGAGCATGAGAGCGCATGAGAGCGCGTGAGAGAGCGCGTGAAAGAGCGCGAGAGAGCGCGTGAGAGCACGTGAGAGAGCATATGAGAGAGTGCGTGAAAGTGCGCATCAGCATGAGAGAGCGCGTGAGGGAGCGAGTGAGAGAGATCGCATGAGAGAGCGCATAAGAGAGCTTGTGCAAGTGCGCGTGAGAGCGCGAGAGAGAGAATGCGTGTGATAGTTCGCGAGAGAGAGAATGCGTGTGATAGTCCGCGAGAGAGAGAATGTGGTGAGAGTGTGCGAGATAGAGCGCGAAAGGGAGTGCGTGAGAGTGTGCTTGAGAGTGCGCGGGGGAGCACGTGAGGGAGCGTGAAAGAGCGCGTGAGAGTGCGTGAGAGAGCGGGTGAGAGGGCGCGTGTGAGAGCGCGTGAGAGAGCGCGTGTGAGAGCGTGTGAGGGAGCATGTGAGGGTGCGCGTGAGAGAGCGTTTGAGAGAGAATGTGCGTGAGAGTGCGCGAGAGAAAGGATGTAAGAGACAATGCGCGGGAGCGTGTGGGAAAAAGAGCGCGAGAGAGAGCGCCTGAGAGTACCCCTAAGAGTGCGCCTTGATAGAGCGCAAGAGAGAGCGCGTGAGAGAGCGCGTGAGAGAGCGCGTGAGAGAGCGCGTGAGAGAGCGCATGAGAGAGCGCGAGAGAGTGAGTGAAGGTGCGCGTGAAAGAGCACAAGAGAGTGAGTGAGGGTGCGTGTGAGAGAGTGCGTGAGAGAGCGTGTGAGAGAGCATGCCAAAGAGCGCCCAAGAGAGCGCACGAGAGTGCGACTGAGAGGGCGAGTGAGAGAGCGCGTGAGGGAGCGCATGAGAGAGTGTATGAGAGAGCGCGTGAGAGAGCGCATAAGCACGCTAGGACGTAAGCTCTAGCTCATCGGCGCCTCACAGCGCACTCGTGCACTGCAGTGCATTGGCGCCTTTCTGCTATGCGTTGATGCCTTCTGCAATGCATGTGAGGGAGGGTGATTTGTACTTCTTGCTTGGCCACCTGTAAGAGCACGTGTGTTGCGGTATCCTATTTTTCTTTCTTGTACACAGTGTATGAACATGCACTGATTTTTGTGCAAGGTGTGTTTTGCTTTCTTTGTTCTTGCATTATTGTGCAGGGCGTGTATGTGTTGACTTCCCTGCTTTAACTTTGTGCAGGGCGTGTGTGTGTTGACTTCCCTGTTTTTGCCTGGGCGTGTGTGTGTTGACTTCACTGATTTTGCTTTGTGTAGGGCACGTGCGTGAGCTGAGAAGGAAGATGAGGGAGTGGGATGGAGATGAGGGAAGGAGAGAGGGAGGGTTGTAGGGAGGGTAAGGTGGGATAGGTTAGCAATTGTTTATTCTGAAATTTATTTATGACGGTTGTGTATTTATTACGGTATCTGTATCTCTCTGTGCTGGTTTGCGTGTGTATGTTTCACTAAGGGGTTGCTCTTCGATCCGTTCACAACCGTCACGTGGTGTTGGCAATTTTTTACGTGTGTTCGCATTCGTTTTTGTCATGTATGCGATTAGAGGTTGTTAATCGTCTTTGGGGCAGCAGGTTTCTGCTGTTTCAATCAACGATCCCATCAACCGCTGTTGCTCTGAAGAATGAGGAATGAATGAACTAGGAAAGAGGTGGGTACAAGTAGGAAAACCTAGAAATGTTGTACCCCATATTGTCTACCACACTACAGCCTACACAGACTATAGCATATACGTTTGACACACCCCCATAGGCAAAGTGGGGGAGAACAAGAAGTCACAAGACCAGTCAAGCAAAGCACAGCAAGCTCAGGGTGGATCACAACGTCACCACACATTCCGAGCACAAGAGCAAGGCCACAAGGCCAGTTCACATGCAAGATCATATATAAAGGTAAACAAGCAATTGCAGGTATAGAAAGATCACAGTACAAGCAAGGTCAAGAAGTGAGCAAGTGGGGCCAAGTAGGCACAAGACCTAGCATCGTACAGAAGCGCTGATGATCACAAGGCGGAAGTGCCTTGGTAAAGATATCAGCAGTGTTGGCCTCAGAGGCCACGTAAGCAAGGTGCAGCTGACCATGCTGTTGCAGCTCACCAGCAAGGAAGTAGCGAAGAGCAATGTGCTTTGTTCTGTGCTACAGTCTGTGCTCCCAACACAAGGCCAGCATGGCCTTGTTGTCTAGGTACAGAACTGGAGGAGAACGAGGCGGCTCTCCTAGGTCAGTCAGCAGGTAGGTGAGCCAGCGTAGCTCCTGTGCAGCCATGGCCCCCCCGTAGATCTCAGCCTCACAGCTGGAGCCGAGAACAGAAGACGAGCGGGTAGACCGCCACGAAACAGAGCCGGAGCCAAGGTTGAAAGTGTAACCCTGTGACGACCGCTGCGTAGCCTGATCGTCACCCCAAGAAGCGTATGCGTGACCTGTGAGGACCACTCGACGTCGCCCTCCAAGAACTAGCCCCATGCCCGACGTACTGCACAAGTAGCGCAACACCCTCTTCGCTACACCCAGGTGCTCTAGTCGGTGTCTCCCAGGAGCAACATAGCGTGCCAAGATGCTAAAAGGGTATGCAAGGACAGGTCGTGTGCAGGTCATCAGATACATGAGGCAACCAACAAGCTCTGGGTACGGGCCACTCGGCTCTACGGACTCATCCGAAGGCAGAGCTGAGAGCGAGTGGCGAGTAGACAGAGGAGTGGCCTGAGGCAAGGAGTACGTAAAGTCGAAGCGCTGAAGGACCTGCTGCACCATGTGTGACTGAGTCAGGGTCATGTTGCGCTGTGCTCTGTCCCGGGTGATCTGCAAGCCAAGGTAGCTGCGCAGTTCACCCAGGTCTGTGCACGTGTGTCTGTTCTGCAGCTCGGACTTCACGTGGGCGAGTCCAGCAGTGTCAGCTGTGGCAAAGACCAAGTCGTCGACGTACACGAGGATGTACAACGGCGGCAAAGAAGTGTCGGTGCGCAGAAAGAGCAACGTGTTGGCTGTAGAAGGAGCAAACCCAAGAGCCGCAAGTGTAGTCCTCAATGTGTCGTGCCACTCACGGGGCGCCTGGCGGAGACCGTAGACTGGCTGCCGGAGGCTCCACTAGGTACCAGGAGGAAACGACCCAGTGAAGCCAGGAGGGCGGCGCAGCCAGATCTCCTCGTGCAGGCTGCCCTGCAGGAAAGCTGTGATGAAGTCAAGAGAGTGAAGCTCGTAGTCGCGCGGAGTGGCTATGTGCAGCAGCACCCGAAGAGTGGTCATCTTAGGGGTGGGAGAGAAGGTTTGAAAGTAGTCAACTCCCTGCCGCTGACTGAAGCCTCGAGCCACGTAACGCGCCTTGAAGACAGGCGGAGAGCCCGGCGGCCGCTTCACCTTGAAGATCCACATGCCACTGACGATGTTCGCCCCAGGTGGGGGAACCTCGTCGACGTAGGTGCCTGTGGACTTCCAGGAAGCCATCTCTACGTCCATGGCCGGCTGCCACTGAGAGGAGTAGGGACCCTCGATCGCCTCAGCGTACGATCAAGGAGTCGGGATGTCTGGTGTATCCGGGTATCCCTCAGGGGCAATCAGCGTGGACACGAGATGAGGCAAAGCAGCAGCAAAACACTCAAACTCCTCCTGCTTGTCCTCAAGGACGTTCGTGCTAAGAGCACACTCAGCAATGAGACTAGTGGCGTAGTCTACACGACAACGAGCAACAAAGTCGACAAGCTCAGCAACTAAGGCAGACGCAGCAGACGACTCAAAGGAAGGGTTAGTGACAACAGTGGCCAGGAGACACGTGATAGTAGGACTGGCAGCACGAAAAGAGTCAGACTCCGGGTCAGCAAGAACAGGAAGAGAGGACTCTGGAGGAGATGGCAACGGGATACGCAGAGGATCAGTGGAAGGACGCAGTGCCATCTGGTGTGTGCTTGGGACCATAGGAGGACGCGGAAGCGGAGCACGACGACTAGTGCGAGCAGCACGAACAAGCGACGCAGGACGAGACGCAGGCTCACAATGCTCAGTAAGACCTCCAGTAGGACCAGTGTAGGGAGAAGGAGAAGGTAGGGGGGAGGCGGGCTGTAACAATGACTACGACTGGACAGGCTGTGGACACTCTAAGGGAGGAACAGGACCAGTAGAGGGCGGGAGACCAAGAACCTGCTCAAGGAGCGGAACGAATTACGGCCTTGGCCACACAGCGCCTCCACAACTAGCAGGGACAGCACCAGTACCCCTTGAGGCAGCACCAGCGCCAGCAGTACTTCCAGCTCCAACAGCGCCAACTCCAGCACCCTCAGAAGCACCAGCGCCAGCAGCACCACCAGCGCCAACACCCCCAGCAGCTCCAGCTTCAGCAGCTCAAGTACCGCCAGCAGCTCCAGCAGTACCTCCAGCAGGACCAACTCCAGCATCCTCAGCAGCACCCCCAGTCCCAGCAGCTCCAATACCATCAGTACGAGCACCTCCAGGACCAGCAGTAAAAATAGCACCTCCAGCTCCAGCAGCACCGCTCCAGCGCCGGGCAAACCACTCGCGCAGCTCCTTCGGAGAGAGTAGCTCCCGCCTTAACGAAGCACTGCCAGAGGCCACACGAGCAGACCCAGCAACCCCAGGCTCCGTACCCCCAGGCTCAGCACACCCAGGCTCCGCACCCCCAGGCTCAGCACCCCCAGACTCAGCACCCCTAGGCTCAGCACCCCTAGACTCAGCACCCCCATGCTCCGCACCCTCAGGCTCAGCACTTCCAGACCCGGCACCCGCAGGCTCAGCACCCCCAGCAGCACCAGAGTCAACAGCTACCTCGACCGGCTCGACTGCGTCTACCTGGGACACACCTGACGGGGCAGGACCCTGAGGGGGGAGGGGGTCTACCGGGGAAGGACCTGGCGCAAGGAAGAGCGGCGGCGGGGGGAGGAACGCATTGCGGTAGGGGAAGAGACGGTAGTAAGGCACCGACTCGTCAAAGGTGACGTCCTGGGAGGACAGAACACGGCGCGAGGTGGGGTGGTAAAACTGCCACCCAGGCGCGTCAGGAGGGAAGCCAAGGAAGACGCAGGGAACAACACGGGGGGACAGCTTGTCCCCAGACAAGTCGCAGACAAACGCCCGAGATCCCTTGACCCGAAACGCAGACGCGTCGCCAAACTTCCCCGTCCACCGCAAGGTTGGGGATGTCTCTGGCAAGGAGACCCGGGGCTGAAGGATGAGCTGATGCGCTATGTACTGAACCACAAACGGCCACAGAAAATGGGGGGTAGCCGCATGCATCATGGACGTACGAGCGACGTCCATGACCATGCCAATGCGGCGCTCATCAATCCCATTTTGCTGTGGAGAGGCCGAAAGCGTGAAGGTCTAGCAGATGCCTTGTGCACGATAGAAGGCTCCCAGACGGGCAGAGGAAAACTCTTCTCCTCTGTCCGAGTGCAGACGCAGAACAGGAAAGTCCGAGCCGAAACTCTCTCTGAGCTAGAGACGAGCTGCGCGGATCCAGTCGATCAACACCTCAGTGACGTCACCCTTGTTGCGCAAGGGGAAGACTGTGGTGTAACGCGAGTAGTCGTCAACCACCAGCAGGAAGTACCGCTCTCGCCCCTGCCCACTGACGCGGGCTGGGCCCCACACGTCCATGTGGAGAGTCTGGAGCGGAGCCTCTGTCGGAGGAAACTAGGAGGAGTGAGGGGCGGCGCGCTGTCGCCCCTCGACGCAAGGGACGCAGGTAGGGCCAGGCCCCGGAGGTAGGGGAGGGAGAAACCGAGGGAGACCAGAGACAAGGACACGGGAGGCCATGCCTCGAAGATGAGGCAGGGAGGGGTGACCAAGGCGGTGGTGCTAAAGGAGAGTCTGGTGGGACAGCAGACGACACGAGCAGGGAGCAGACTCAGGACCAGACCTGGACGCTGCAGCAAACACCTGACTTGACGCAGCTACCTGACCAGAATCAGCAACCGGAGGAGACTCAGTAGTAAGGGTGTACAGGCTCGACCCCGGCCGACAGGTAAACGTGGCCAAGTGTCGGCCCGTCCGAGCACACGTACAGTGGGTCACCCTCTGACTCGCAGGAGTGAACTAGTCAACCCTCCTATCCTGTAGATCAGCTCCACTCACCAAGTTCGTAGAGAACGAGGGGAGGTAGAGACCTGACAGGGTGCCAGAGGGGGCTGCCGGACACGGTAAGACAATGGAGAAGCGAGCAAGGACACGACCCCCAGAGGGGTCCGCTAGGGAGACCGCAACCGGCCGACTAAGCGGCGTAAGCGTGGTGCGGTCTCGAAAGAAGGATCGGGAAGCACCCGAGTCAAGGGTGAAGGTGTGGAAGGCCTGAGCCGACGTGGAACCTGAGAGAGCAGACTCACCAGCACCTGGGGTAGCAGACGCACTAGCACCTAGAGCAGCAGCCTTACCAGTACCTAGAGCAGCAGCCTCAATGCTCGGGTCAAGCGGAACACACAGGTAACAGTCACCCTCATCAGTAGTAGAAACAACATACCTTGCAGCAAGAGTAGCATCATAATCAAGATCAAAGATAGCAACCCCCGCCCTAGACAGCTCTCCCTAGCGAGGGATCTCAGTGGCTTCAGGGAACTAGTGACGCCACGCGTCCGTTAGGCGGCCAAAGCAGCGCTGGGTGGAGTGCGGGCCCCCGCACTACTCACCAGCACGGTTGCCGGTATGGAGGACGAAGGTGCAGGGACCAGTACCCCCACCTCGATGACGCCCAGCGTACCACTCACGAAGCTGCTGGGGGGATGGGGTCTCACGAGTGTGCTGCTGCTGCTGGCGCGGACCACCACCGGAACCACTCCTCTGCGCAGAGCCGCAACCAGCTCCACCCCTGCCGCCACCGCCTCCGCCACCTCCACCGCCTCCGCTCCCACCGCCACCGCCGCTGCCTCCTCCACCTCCACTGCTGCCACCGACACCTCCACCCCCGCCACCACTCCCACCACCACCCCCACCCCCTCCACTGCCTTCACCGCCACCTCCACCGCCCCCGCCATCCCCTCCAGCGCCCTTGCCCCCCTTGCCCTTGCTGGTGTGGCGTCTCCCACTAGGGGCAGACGCAGCGCCGACCTCGTAGAAACCAACGAGGTCGGTCGTAGCAGCAGAAGCAACAGAGGGCAAGAGGGGGGAGGGGGAACACCCCTCAAAGACGGGGGTACGAGGGTCACCACAAGAGGCTCCTACAGCGACTATGCCCTTCTCTGCTGCCAGGAGGCGCTCCTCGAGGAGATCAATGGTGACTGTGGTGGGGCAAACAGAGAGGAAGTGGTCCGTGACTAAGCGAAGGGAGTCAGGGAGCCGGGTGACTATGTAGTAGAGGGTGATGTACATTGGGGGGGGGGGTTCTTGGCGCAGAACTCAGCAGGAAGCGCCGCGTGGTAGCGAGTGTCACTAGTGCGAAGGTGCGTAATGAGGTCAGCGACTGTGGGAAAGGCAGCAAGGTTAGGGAACACGTACGGCAGCATGTGGCGGCTAAGAGCAGCAGTGGCAGGGGAAGAGTAGCGTGCAACTACAGCGTCGTACAAGGTCTTAGCACTCTTGTACTGACTAAAGTGCGCACGCTCAGCAATCGGTAAGTGGCAACGCACAGCAAGACGGGCAGCAGCATCGCGTGTGGCCCACTGTGAGCGAACAGTGCTGTCAGCATCAGTAGGCGGGGCAGGAGAGGCACCAGAGGTGAGATCGAACAGGGAGAGTTCGTCTGCCCTATCGCACTGTAGGAAAAGCTGGAGGTCATCGACCCAGGCCTCAAAGTCAATAGCACGACCCTCAGCATCAAAGGTAAGGACATTGGGGGTAGCCATGACAGCAGTGGTCTAGCAGGGAGTGCTCTCACCAGACCGATTGGGTAGGGCCGGGGCGCGCCGGTAGGAACAGGGCTGTAACCGCGGTGGCAGCGGCTCGGCAGTGACAGTATCGGCTCGACGGCAGTGGCTCGGTGGCTCGGCGGCTCGGCTGCTTGGCGGCTCGGCGGCTCGGCTGCTGGGCGGCTCGGCGGCTCGGCCGCTGGGTGGCTAGGCGGCTCGGCGACTCGGCGGCTCGGCTTCTGGGCGGCTCGGCGGCTCGGCTGCTGGGCGGCTCGGCGCCTCGGCGGTGAAGGGGCCGTGAAGGGCAGGGACGGGGCCGGTAGAGGCGGGGACGGGGCCGCGAAGGGCGATGGGGCCGCTAGAGGCGGCGACGGGGCCGCGAAGAGCGGCGACGGGGCCGCTAGGGGCGGCGACGGGGCCGCAAAGGGCGGCGACGTGGCCGCGAAGGGCGGCGACAGGGCCGCTAGGGGCGGCGAAGAGACCGCTAGGGGCGGCGACGGGGCCGCTAGGGGCGGCAACGGGGCCAATAGGGGTGGCGACGGGGCCGCAGAGGGGCCGCGAGGGGCCTCGAAGGGCGGCGATGGGGCCGCTAGGGGCGGCGACGGGGCCGCGAAGGGGCTGCGAGGGGCCTAGAGGGGCGGCGACGGGGCCGCGAAGGGGCCGTGAGGGGCCTAGAGGGGCGGCAACGGGGCCGCAAAGGACGGCGACGGGGCCGTAAGGGGTGGCGACGGGGCCGCTAAGGGTGGCGCGAGGGGCCGTGAGAGGGGCCTCTAGGAGGGCGCGGCGTGAGGGCGGCCTACGGGGCGCGCCTCGGGCAGGGAAAAAAAAAGTCGAGTTCAGTGGTGGGCCCTGAGAAGCGTTCCCAGGAGGGAGCCTGCTCTATACCATGTGAAGAATGAGGAATGAGTGAACTAGGAAAGAGGTGGGTACAAGTAGGAAAACCTAGAAATGTTGTACCCCATATTGACTGTAAACATATAAGTTTGGCAGTTGCTGCATGATGCATTTTAACATTCATTTTTAAGCATCCATTCCACCTCATACGTTGTTGTTCATTTGTTCATGTTGATGCCAGAATATTATGCTCGGCCGTACGATCCGCCGTGTTTATCGATGAGGTTGGAACGGTCAAGCAATTTTATGGTTTCAACATGATACGTACGTGCGTTCCGGTATTTGGTTTTACATATGGGGATCTCATTCAAGGGTGTGTTTTATCCATGATTTGAAGCATCCGTTTGAACAAGGTTTCAAAACATTTAAACGGGTGCTCCAAAAAGTGCGTAAATATACTCTTGAAATGATCCCCAAAATGTCAAACCAAATATAAAGGGTTGCTACGCAACCCAAAAAACCCTGGATGGTCCAAGTTCCCTTATCGAACCCCGGCTCAATCTCGGCACCCACGTGCACATTCCCTGGTCTCAGCACCACCCAACCCGAGCTCCCATTTCCCAGCGAATCGCGGTGTAGTGCGGCTCACATGCCGGCATGTTGAGAGGATGCTATCGCTACTTCTGTGGAACCAGATTAGGAGTCGAAACCCTAGAAGTGCTCGCTTTAGAATTACTCGCTCTCGAAGCGCCTATCACTCGCTTGCACCTGTCCCCAACGACACTTCAGCGACGGGCGACTAGCCGCTCGTCTCGACCTCGTCGGAGTCGTCCCCATCACCACCGTCGTCGAGCGTCGCATAAGCGATCTCGCGCGGCGACGAGCGGTCCACTGAACCGACGTGCACGTCACGACTGTATGCATGTCGCCGCTGGCATGCCGCCATCGGGGCACCCATCAATTCCCTCCTGCTCTCGCCGTCATATCCCTTCCGTCTTCATTTCCTGCCTCTCCTCCGTCCCGCCTGCCAGGGGATGATGACCGTTGAACCCGCCGCAATCGCCGCCGCCAAAGGTGCCGCCACTTCGCGCGCAACAGCTCGCTCGTCCACGTCTTCCCCCCCCACCTTTCCCCTTACCCTCCTCCTCATCCTCCGCTGACGCCTCCGCCTCTTCCACCAGCCCCACTTCCCCGCCTCCCCGAAGCAATCTGCAGTACGCCATTGGCGCGCTGCAGCAGCTGCGGAAATCATCGGCACGGCGCTGCGGCACGCCAAGCACGTGCGCGCGAGCAGAGTAGAGCGCAAGTACGTGCGCGTGAGCAGAGGTGAGCGCAAGCACGTGCGCGCAAGCAGAGGTGAGCGCAAGCACGTGCGCGCGAGCAGAGTTGAGCGCAAGCACGTGCACGCGAGCAGATGTGAACGCAAGCACGTGCGTGCAAGTAGAGGTGAGCGCAAGCACGTGGACGCGAGCAGATGTGAACGCAAGCACGTGCGCGCGAGCAGAGGTGAGCGCAAGCAAATGAGCGCGGGCAGAGGTGAGCGCAATCACGTACGTGCGAGCAGAGGTGAACGCATGCACGTGCGTGAGAGCAGAGGTGAGTGCAAGCAGTGCGCGCGCGCAGATGTTGATGGTGGGCGAGTGGGCGCTCACCAGCTGGGCTGCCTCGCTAGTGGGGGATGTGGCGCACGTATGGCTTGTGGGGCATGTGCGGCATCATGGGTGGCAGGTAGGGTATGTGGGGCATGTGGGGCATGCGCACCTTCCCTTCGATAATCGTTGCAACTTCCCCTCACTCCCCTCCCCCATCCTCTCCTGCTGTTCCCGTGTTCTCTCGGTAGACAGACCCCCTCCATCTCCCCGTTGCCTCTCCCAATCATTGCCTCTCCTCTTACTCACCACAACCCGCCTCCTTGCCATTACCAACTCTACACGAGTTGAAGACAAGATTCGCCAACCACGTATGGATCGACCGTGCGTGTGTTGACGTGAAATCAAGGAGCATTGCTCGTAAGCCCACACAAGCCGTGCCGCCAACTCAACCTTCGTGCACACAAAATTCCGTGAACCTTCGGGGAAGAATTTACAGGTTAAAGTGCCAAGCAAAGTCTAGAGAAGTTGGAGGGAGAAAATGCTACTGATGAGTCAGGGAAAGCAGGGAAGTGGGCTAAAGGCAGTGACTACCTTCTCACATGATGTAATGACGAGAAGTGAGAATGGATGAATGAACTATGAAAAAGTTGGGTACAAGTACTAACCCTAATTGGGCTGTACCCCTTGTGGGCTACCCCACTACAGCCTACACAAATGTATAAGCTATAATGTTCTGACACACCCCCATAGTCAAAGTGGGGGAGAACAAGTGGTCACAAGACCAGTCAAGCAAAGCAAAGCAAAACAAACTCAGGGTGGATCACAAAGTCACCACACACTCTGAGCACAAGAGTAAGACCACAAGGCCAGTTCACATGCAAGGTCATATATATGAAGGTAAACAAGCAAGTGCAGGTATAGAAAGAGTACAGTACAAACAAGGTCAAGAAGTGAGCAAGTGAGGCCAGGTAGGCACAAGACCTAGCAAAGTACAAAAGCGCTGATGATCACAAGGCGGAACGGCCTTGGTGAATATATCAGCAGTGTTGGCCTCAGAGGCCACATAGGTGAGGCGGAGCTGACCACGCTGCTGCAGCTCATGAGCCAGGAAGTAGCGGAGAGCAATGTGCTTCGTTCTGTGCTCCAGTCTGTGCTCCCGACACAAGGCCAGCATGGCCTTGTTGTCTACGTACAGAACTGGAGGAGAACGAGGCAGCTCTCCTAGGTCAGTCAGCAGGTAGGTGAGCCAGCGTAGCTCCTGTGCAGCCATGGCCCCTGCGTAGATCTCAGCCTCACAGCTAGAGCTGAGAACAGAAGACGAGCGGGTAGACCGCCACGAAACAGAGCCGGAGCCAAGGCTGAAGGTGTAACCCTGTGAAGACCGCTACAGAGCCTGGTCGTCAGCCCAAGAAGCGTCTGCGTGACCTGTGAGGACCACTCGACGTCGCCCTCCAAGCACTAGCCCCATGCGCGACATACTGCACACGTAGCGCAACACCCTCTTAGCTGCAGCCATGTGCTCTGGTGTGTGTCTCCCAGGAGCACCATAGCGTGCCAAGATGCTAAGAGGGTATGCAAGGTCAGGTCGTGTGCAGGTCATCAGGTACATGAGGCAACCAACAAGCTCTGGGTACGGGCCACTCGACTCTATGGACTCATCCGAAGGCAGAGCTGAGAGCGAGTGGCGAGTAGACAGAGGAGTGGCCTAAGGCGAGGAGTACGTGAAGCCGAAGCGCTGAAGGACCTGCTGCACTATGTGTGACTGAGTCAGTGTAATGGTGCGTTGTGCTCTGTCCCGAGTGATCTGCAAGCCAAGGTAGCTGCGCAGTTCACCCAGGTCTGTGCACGTGTGTATATTCTGCAGCTCGGACTTCACGTGGGCGAGTCCAGCAGTGTCAGCAGTGGCAAAGACCAAGTCGTCAACGTACGCGAGGATGTAGAACGGAGGCAAAGAGGTGTCGGTGCGCAGAAACAGCGACGGGTGGGCTGTAGAAGGAGCAAACCCAAGAGCCGCAAGTGCAGTCCTCAGTGTGTCGTGCCACTCACGGGGGGGCTGGCGGACACCGTAGACTGGCCGCCGGAGGCTCCACTGGGTACCAGGAGGAAACGACCCAGTGAAGCCAGGAGGGCGGCGCAGCTAGATCTCCTCGTGCAGGCTGCCCTGCAAGAAAGCTGTGCTGAAGTCAAGAGAGTGAAGCTCGTAGTCGCGCTGAGTAGCTATGTGCAGCAGCACCCGAAGAGTGGTCATCTTCGGGGTGGGAGAGAAGGTCTGAAAGTAGTCAACTCCCTGCCGCTGACTGAAGCCTCGAGCCACGTAACGCGCCTTGAAGACAGGTGGAAAGCCCGGCGGCCGCTTCACCCTGAAAATCCACATCCCACCGACGATGTTCGCCCCAGGTGGGGGAACCTCGTCGACGTAGGTGCCTGTGGACATCCACAAAGCCATCTCTGCGTCCATGGCCGAGTGCCACTGAGAGGAGTAGGGACCCTCGATCGCCTCAGCGTACGATCAAGGAGTCGAGATGTCTGGTGCATCCGGGTCTCCCTCAGGGGCAATCAGCGTGGACACGAGATGGGGCAAAGCAACCGCAAAGCACTGGAACCCCTCCTACCTGTCCTCAAGGACGTCCGTGCTAAGAGCACACTCACCCCCGACGGACGGAGGGCAGACAGACTCAGACTCAGCAACGAGACTGGCAGTGTAGTCTAGACGACAGCGAGCAGCGAAGTCGACAAGCTCAGCAACTAGAGCAGACGCAGCAGTGGACTCAAAGGAAGGGTCAGTGACAACAGTAGCAAGAAGGCGCGTGACCGAAGGACTAGCAGCACGAAGGGAGTCAGACTCCGGGTCAGCAAGAGAAGGAAGAGAGGACTCTGGAGGATACGGCAAAGGGACACGCAGAGGAGCAGTGGAAGGACGCAGTGCCATCTGGTGTGTGCCGAGGACCGCAGGAGGACGCGGACGCGCAGCACGACGACAAGTGCGAGCAGCACGAACAGGCGACGCAGGACAAGACGCACGCTCACCACGCTCAGCAAGACCTCCAATAGGACCAGTGTAGGGAGAAGGAGCTGGTAGCAGGGAGGCAGGCTCTAACTGTGACTGCGACTGGACTGGCTGCGAACACTCTGAGGGAGGAGCAGGACCAGGAGAGGGCGAGAGACCAAGAACCTGCGCCAGGAGCGGAACGAAGTACGGCCTCGTCCGCTCTGCCCCTCCAGAACTAGCAAGTTCGGCACCAGTACCCCCAGCGGTAGCACCAGCGCCAGCAGAACCTCCAGCTCCAGCAGCGCCAACTCAAGTACCCTGAGAAGCACCAGCGCCAGCAGCACCGCTAGCGATAACACCCCCAGCAGCACCAGCTCCTGCAACACCAACTCCAGTAGAACCGTCAGCACTAGCAGCCTCAGCAGCACCCCCAGACGCACCAGCACTAGTAGAAGCACCAGCGCCAACACCCCCAGCAGCTCCACCTCCAGCAGCACCAGCACAGTGAGAGGACGTCCCCGTTACAATATTTCCTCACTATTATATTTTTCCGTTATCCTATTTTCCCTTTTCTCCTCTTTATTTTGGTCTTTATCTCATCTCAATCGGCCTACTATTCTATTTTCTAGAGCCTTCTATTTATTTCTCTTATTTCCTACTTTTCCCACCGACATACCTATTATACGGCACCGATAGCGCCGACAGTGGTGTATACGGTGTAATCTGGGCGTAATCCCAAGTGCTAATAGACTTGCGTGCTTATGCGCACTTGTGATTGTAGTATCGGGAAGGGCGTGTGTGAGAATAAGCGAACAGGAATGAATGAACTAGTAGTGAAAAAATGAGTACAAGTAGGAAACCCTAGAATTGTGTACCCCCTATAGGCTAACCCACTGTAGCCTACACAAGCATAACATATATAATGTTTGACACACCCCCATAGGCAAAGTGGGGGAGAACAAGGGGTCACAAGACCAGTCAAGCAAAGCAAAGCAAGCTCAGGGTGGATCACAAAGTCACCACACAGTCCGAGCACAAGAGCAGGGCCAGAGGCCAGTTCACATGCAGGAGGACAGACATATATATAAAAACTAGACAAGCAAGAGCAGGTATATATATATGTCACAGTACAAGTGAAGTCAAGAGGAGAGCAAGTGAGGCAAGACAGGCACAAGACCCAGCTGGGTGCAAAAGCGCTGATGGTCACAAGGCGCGAGTGCCTTGGTGAACACATCAGCAGTGTTGGCCTCAGAGGCCACGTACGCAAGTCGCAACTGACCACGCTGCTGCAGCTCACGAGCAAGGAAGTAGCGGAGAGCAATGTGCTTTGTTCTGTGCTCCAAGCGCTGCTCTCGACACAAGGCCAGCATGGCCTTGTTGTCTACGTACAGCACTGGAGGAGAACGAGGCGGCTCTCCAAGGTCAGTCAGCAGGTAGGTGAGCCAGCGAAGCTCCTGTGCAGCCATGGCCCCGGCGTAGATCTCAGCCTCACAACTGGAGCCGAGAACTGAAGACGAGCGAGTAGACCGCCACGAGACAGAGCCGGAACCAAGGCTGAAGGTGTAACCCTGTGACGACCGCTGCGTAGCCTGGTCGTCAGCCCAAGAAGCGTCCGCGTGGCCTGTAAGGACCACTAAACTCCGCCCTCCAAGCACTAGCCCCATGCCCGACGTACTGCACAGGTATCGCAATACCCTCTTCGCTGCTGCCATGTGCTCTGGTCGGTGTCTCCCAGGAGCAACATAGCGTGCAAGAATGCTCAGAGGGTATGCAAGGTCAGGTCGTGTGCAGGTCATCAGGTACATGAGGCAGCCAACAAGCTCTGCATACGGACCACTCGACTCTACGGACTCATCCGAAGGCAGAGCTGAGAGTGAGTGGCGAGTAGGCAGAGGAGTGGCCTGAGGCGAGGAGTACGTGAAGCCGAAGCGCTGAAGGACCTGCTGCACCATGTGTGACTGAGTCAAGGTAATGGTGCGGCGTGCTCTGTCCCGAGTGATCTGCAAGCCAAGGTAGCTGCGCAGTTCACCCAGGTCTGTGCACGTGTGTCTCTTCAGCAGCTCGGACTTCACGTAGGCGAGTCCAGCAGTGTCCGCTGTGGCACAGACCAAGTCGTCGACGTACACGAGGATGTAGAACGGCGGCAGGGAAGTGTCGGTGCGAAGAAAGAGCGACGGGTCAGTAGTAGAAGGAGCAAACCCAAGAGCCGCAAGCGTAGTCCTCAGTGTGTCGTGCCACTCACGCGGTGCCTGGCGGAGACCGTAGACTGGCCGT